AGGTTTAAATAAATTAGGTTTAAATAAATTAGGTTTAAATAAATTAGATTTAAATAAATTAGGCTTAAATAAACTGAAATGAGAACAGAAAGTAGGAATTTAGCAACAACAAAAAAATGACTGAAGAATAGCTGAAAAGGCAGAAAAAAGCTTAAACTACCAGAAAAAAGGTGGAAGGAGCTGAAATGAGCTAAAAAAAAAAAAGTGGATTTTGGTTTAAAAAGCTAAAATTAGCATACAAACAGCTGAAATAGCAGAAAAAGTTCAATTAGCAAAAAAAGGCTGAAAGGAGCATAGCAAGCTGAATTTAGCAAAAAGAAGTTAATTGGACTGAAAAAAGCAGAAATTACCAGAAAAAAAACTTGAATTTATCTGAAAACAGCTGAAATTAGCTAAAAAAGCTAAAAAAAAAAAGTAGCACAAGCTTAAACTTGCAGAAGAAAGCAGAAAGAACAGGTTTGCTGAAAGAAGCAGAAATTATCACAAAAAAGTAGAAATTATCTGAAAAAAAGCTGAAATTAGCAACAGCTGAAAAATAGCTAAAATAGCAGAAAGAAGCTGAAATTACCAGAAGGAAGTGGAGAGCGCACATTTTACCTGAATTAGGCTGAAAAAAATTAAATGAGTGTAAAAAAATGTGAATTTGCTATAATCAGCATAAAGCAGCTATATAGTAGCTGAAATAGTTAAAAAAAAAGATTTAACTAGCAGATAGGAGCTGAAAGGAGCATAATATGAAATTAGCAGGAAAAAGTTAGAAGCACAAAAATGTTGGTTAGCAGAAATATAGCAGAAATGAAAGGAGCACAAAACAGCTGAAACAACAGCTGAAAGTAGCTGAAAACGTTTTAAATTTGCAGCAGGAAGCTGAAAGCAGCTGAAGCAGAACAAACCGTGAAAGGAGCAGTGAAGGTTGTAAACAGATGTAAAGATCTGAAGGATGCAAAATGAACTCGATTCATTTTCTATGAGACAAAATGTCAGAAAAGGCTAAACATTTCAAAAAGCTAAAGGTGCACCAACACCAAGTCACAGCAGGATTGTCCTGAAAGAGCCGAACGTTTTGATTCATGAGTTGATGAAGTCCAGAACAGTTTGAACCAGAAGAATGTAATGAATATAAACAGGATCACAACAGTGTGAATGCTTCATAAACGTTCGACCACATTCAGTTTGAACACGTTTCAAACGTTCAAACCACGACTGAGGCCAGAAGAATGTCTCTGTTAGCAAAATCTCTCAAGAACCGCTGGACGCTTTGAAACGTGCAGAAAATAGTTTAAAGATGCGAATCCAGAAGGGACTGAAGTCTGAACGGCAGCGGGCGATATGCATTCCTCCGAGGAATCAGAGTCAGAGATTCTTTATTGTCATGCACACCTCATGTGGTACATGTGGTGGAATGAAATGATGTTCACAAAGTCCCAGTTACATCCAACAATAAAATGTAAAAGAAAAACAGTAATAACATCTAAGATATGAACTAAGAAAAACATCAACTAAATATACACTAAGCACTCATAACATAAAACATTGAACATCAGCACAAACATGAACATGAGTCTGAGTGAGCAGGAATGAACACATTAACATGAAGCAGATCAGCAGCAACATGAAGCAGATCAGCAGCAACATGAGACAGATCAGCAGCAACATGAAACAGATCAGCAGCAACATGAAACAGATCAGCAGCAACATGATGTGATTATTCTAGTTAGAGATTCATGAGTCTAACAGCCTCAGGGTAGAAGCTGTTCCTCAGTCTAGTGGTTCTACACTTAATGCTCCTCAACCTCCTTCCTGAGGGGAGTGGGGCAAAAAGTGTGTGTGCTGGGTGGGTGTGGTCCTTCATGATGCAGGTGGCCCTCTTCCTGCATCTGGAGGTGTAGATGTCTGTGATGGTGGGGAGACTGACTCCAACATCTTCTGTGCAGCCTTCACCACTCTCTGCAAAGCT